AGATTCTGTCCATCTTCAAATTTCATAAAGTTCCACCTTCACTCAACACTTATCACCCTAAAGATAGAAAATTTTGATTTGAATATGCGCTATGACATTAATGATCCAGTTAAATGATGTCTATATTCGTAGAACTTGGAAAATAATGGTAATTATACAGTCGGTTACTTGTAGTGTTAATCTAAAATATTTTGCCATCTAAGGTCTTTTTATGAATAAAATATTTTTGTACCTATCCTTGGAGGAGTTATTTCTCATCCTCCCTTCTTTCCTGCACTCTCTCATTCTCATCCTTCCTTATTAATGTATTTATCTTACTTAGGGGTGCGTTTGATGTGAAATTTTTGTTTCAGGGTCGGGAGTTGTGAGCTTGTGACAGTGGAATTCTTGAAAGTGTAACTCCAAAGTTTTCATCAAAATTCTACTTGTCAGGTAAGTAATGGCTTGCCTTAACTTGTTATTGAAGAAATTGAAAATGTTTGAAGCCTTGTCGGCTTATATAATTGTGGCCTGGTCGGCTTATATGATTTACTATTAGAGGATCAACAATTGCACAGGCGCACATAATAACTATATTGAAAACTCTAACTGTATGATGATTTGAGATATTTTGTATTTGTTTTTTAGGTTAATCATTGAGCATCAGATATAGACCCATACACCATGCCTCCTAAATATGAGTCTGGTGCTCAAAAGAGAAAAAGGAAACGAACTGAGATTTCATTAATTCAAAGTCAAGCAGGGGATATTGGCAAGTACTTTAAAAGCAACAATATGAATACATTGAATGAGGATGAAGTAGAGATTCAACCTGCATGTGTTAATGAAGTAGATGATAAGGATGAAGAAGTGAGTCAACCTGCCTATGTTGTAGTAGATGATAAGGAAGAAGAGGTGATGAAACATGCATGTATTAATGAAGTAGATGACAAGGAAGAAGAGGGTTGCTCTTCTCTAAATTTGGATGATCCCGAGAATTGAAAAATTATTGATCAGAGAACAAGGGATTACTTGGTTGAAAGGGGTCCAAAAAGAGTTGATGATATCTCGTTTCTGAAAGATTGTACAAATAGGCATTTTGATTCTTCACAATATAAGCGATTGCTACGAAATGGGCAAACAATTGATAGAAGATGGCTAGTCTATTCAATATCTATGGACAGGATCTTTTGCTTTTGTTGTAAGTTGTTTAAAACAGCCAAAAACACTACTAGAGTTGGCCAACTTGGTAACGATGGATTCAAAGATTGGCATAATTTGCATCGGTCTATTAAAAGTCATGAAGGAAATGAAGAGCATTTATGTTGCATGACTAGCTGGATTGAATTGGAAAATAGGCTTCGAACAAAAACTACAATTGATAAAAGCGTTGAATTGTTGATCGATGCGGAAAGAGAACATTGGAGGCATGTACTAACAAGGATAATCGCTATTGTAAAAAGACTCACCAAAAACACCTTGCCATTTCGAGGAGATGATGAGAGGCTAAATGTTGAGAACAATGGTCTGTTTTTACAAATGGTGGAAATGGTTAGTGAATTTGATCCAATAATGAAAGAGCACCTTCGGCGGGCTAATGCAAAAGAGATTCAATACACGTATCTTGGCAAAAAAATTCAAAATGAATTGATACAGTTGTTAGCTAATGAGGTGAGAAATGCAATTGTCAAGAAAGTTAAACATGCAAAATATTTTGCAGTTATACTTGATTGTACTCCAGATGCAAGTCATGAGGAGCAGATGTCGTTAATAGTACGATTTGTAGATGATTCGGCAAACTTACCTACAGTTGAAGAACATTGGCTTGAATTCTTGAAGGTAGATGACACAACAGGATTTGGACTGACAACCGAGCTTCAAAAGGCTTTGATCAAACTCGATCTGGATATTGATGACATTAGAGGATAAGGGTATGATAATGGATCTAACATGAGCGGGAAGTACAAAGGTGTGCAAAGAAGAGTACTTGAAATGAATCCCCGAGCTTTCTATACTCCATGTGGCGCTCATAGTCTAAATCTAGCGTTATGTGATATGGTGAATTGTTGTTCCAAAGCTGTATCATTCTTTGGAGTGATACATCGCATCTACACTTTGTTTTCATCTTCTACGAAGCGATGGCAAATTTTTAAAGATAATATAAAAGGGTTGACAGTAAAGCCGTTGTCACAAACACGTTGGGAAAGTCATGTTGAGAGTGTAAAGCCTATAATGGAGCAAACTGCACAAATAAGAGAAGCATTACTTGATTTGGCTGAAACTAACGAAGATCCTAAAATAAAGAGTGAAGCCGAGTCATTGGCAACACATGAACTTCAGGATTTTGAGTTCTTGCTTGGCATGATAATCTGGTATAGGTTGTTGCATGCAGTCAATATTGTGAGTAAATTTCTTCAAACTGAATCCATGGACATTGATCATGCTATCGACCTATTGCAAGGACTTGTTTAATTTCTTGAAGATTATAGAGAAATTGGATTTGCCATTGCCAAGGGTGAAGCGACAAAAAAGGCAAATGAAATGGGAATTTAAGCTGTATTTACAGAAAAACGCATAATTCGAAGAAAAAAAACAATTTGATGAAAAATGTAGTAATGAGGTAAAGCAATCAGCAGAAGAATCATTTAGAGTTGAGTACTTTGTTTTTATAATTGATCAAGCTCTATCTTCTCTGAGGACTCGATTTGAACAATTCAAACTATATGATGATATATTTGGATTTTTGTTTAATTTGAAGAGGTTAAGGAGTGCAACTTTATCAAGTTTGTTGAACTCTTGTATGAATCTTGAAAAATATCTTGAACATGATGGGCTTTCGGATATCAGTGGAGATGATTTATGTTCAGAATTACAAGTCTTGAAGATTTATTTACCAAATGAAGCAACAAAAGCAATTGAAGTGCTAAACTATTTGAAGACATTGGATGTTTGTTTTCCAAATGCTTATATTGCTTACAAAATTTTGTTAACCGTACCGGTTACAGTTGCATCTGCGGAAAGAAATTTCTCGAAATTGAAGTTGATCAAGACTTATCTCCGATCAACTATGTCACAAGAAAGATTAAACGGGTTGACTATGTTATCAATAGAAAAAGAAATGGTTAAGCAGCTAAGTTATTCAGATTTGATTGATGTTTTTGCCTCTAAAACAGCAAGACGAATAGTATTTAACTAATTGTTTGAAATTTTTGGCTTGATGGTTTATAATATAATCGTTTCTATGATATATTTCGTTGTTGTTTTAATGTTAATTTTTTAAGTTAGCAATAAGTCGCATAATACACCTTTGAATTTTATCGATGGGGGGCCTAATTTTCATTATTCGCCTCAGGGCCCCTCAAACACAGGACCGACTCTGAATCAAAAACCCAAAAAAAAAAAGGAAAATAGAAATGGATCTTCTTCTTCTCCCTCCACCCCACCCCCCTCAATCTAAATATATCGGTCCAATATGAAAAGGAAAAAAAAAATTGTCCTCCTTGACTACACCCCTGTGCTAGATGACCTTAGCACTATATAAAATCCATAACTCAAAAGGTGGATGAATATCCTTTTCAAATAATTTTCGTTATTTGATAAATTTAAGCATTTATAGGGATGTTAAGCGGGCCGAACGACTCGTTAAAATTGGGTTCGCGCGCAGTTCGAGTTCGTAAAATCACGAGCTTAAGCACGAGCCGCCCGCTCGTGGGAAAAGCCACGAGGAAAAGTGACCAAAAACGGTCACTTTTTTTAAAAGTGACCGTTTTGGTCACATTTTCAGTGACAAACGGTCACTGAACTTTTTTATTTTTATTTTTTTCCTCACTTCACTTTTATTATAAATACCCCTCTACCCCTCAATTTTTTTCATATCAAAACTCCATTCTCACATTTCAACTCTCTTTTATATCAATTATCAAGTTTTCACTCTCTGTTGTGCTGTTGTGCCACATCGCAAATCACCTAGAACGCCGCAAAGTCAATTTTTAAATGAATTTGTCGATCTAAATGACGTACCGATACCTGAAAATATTCACATTCACAGTCATGGAAGCTACAATCCAATTAATTTGAATGATATTAACGTTCCCGAAATGGAACATAAGGACGAAGATGTGGAATTAAATATCCCAGATGCGAGGAAAAAGCGAAAGGGAAAAAGCAAGCAAAATGTTGGGATCACTTTAAGTTGATTTCAACGAAAAAAAGGTCGTCAATGGCCTCGCAGAATCTAAGGCAGTATTTATATACTGCCAATAAAGATTGACATGGCAAAAAGGAATTGGTATCACCTATCTTAAACACTATTACAAAGCATGTACAGCCAGACATGGACTTCTTCTAACTAGTCAAACACAATTGCAATTTGGCAGTTTAGGCGCCGATTCTACGACTTCACCCCTATCTACGTGGGTGTATTCGGATGACAATACTCGAACCAGAATGGTGAAATTTGTTGTCGCCACTGAGTTGCTTCTGGCTATTACCGACAACCAACATTTCGTCTCGTTCGTGAAAGAATATCTACAACGTATGTACGTTGGAGTAAGTCAAAACACTCTTCATGCCGATATAATACAATATTTCAATGATTCAAAACAACAATTAATTATGGCTTTACAATAATATGAGGATGTTATATCTTTAACTTCTGATATATGTGAATGGGTTAATAAAATAGCATATATAGTTGTAACCGCACACTATATAGACTCACTTAGTGCATGCATAAAAAATTTATTACTTTTAGAATTATTGAGTTTCCTCACAATGCTAATAATATATATAATACTATTATCAGTATTGTTAGAGAATATAATTGCGAGACTAAAATTCGATCTTTTACTTTCGACAATATTGTGTTAATAAGGTAGTCGTCGATAAATTGTGTAGGGTACTTCAACCTGATTTCGGTAGGTATTTGTTTCATATGCGTTGTGTGTGCCATATTTTAAATTTAAGTGTGCAAGATGATTTAAAACATATAAAGAATGAACTTCAAAATATTAGAAATGCATTAGTATATATTACAATCTCTCATAGTAGAAAACAAGTATTTGAAGATTTTTGTGCCGAACTAGAAGTGACGATTGCTAAAACATTTGTTAGCGACGAAGGCCATAAATGGAACTCTACTTACTTGCTATTAAAGTCATGAAAAGGTTTCGAATATTTAATAATTGACTTTTATAAAAATAGACACGTTAGAAGTGATGACGATGGTATGTTGAATGAATTCGATTGGGTTTTAGCTTTGAAAGTTAAACGATTTTTGAACTTTTTTTTTATGAGATCACAAAGATTTTATCGGGCGTTTATTATCACACAAACTGAATGGTGTTTAAACGCCTTTATATAATTGTAAGAATATTCTATAAATATAAAAATGATCCTGATTTTAGTGAAATTATAATTGCTATGGAATTTTAGTTTAGAAAATATTGGGAATAACTGTCTATGTTATTTCCTTGAGCATGCACAATGGACCCCTGATATAATATATCTGGAACTAAATACGTAATTGATTAAATCAATAAAATCTTAATACTTGATACACCTATCATCTATAAGAATTTAGAACAAATATTATATGGAATATATGATTTATATGTGAAACTATTGGGTGCGAATGTTAGTCGGGTACCATCTGCACCTACTCATTCGGATGAAATTGAAGAAGATGATGCCGAAATAATTATTTCAACGTATTAATACATTTAGATATGATGCAAATGCAATATGTTCACCTAGTGTCATGTCGTCTACACTTGCATTTCATCAAACATCAGTCGTAACTCAAAATGCGATGCCTGCCAAGTTAATTGATTACTTCAATCATAATATACCAACAGACAACAATTAAAAAAGTTCCGAAAAAATAATTGAATTATGGTGAAAGTATGAAAGATCAGGCCAATTGTTTCTACAATTGTGAAAGATCTGCTGACACCTCCGGTTAGTACTATTGTTTCGGAATTTGCTTTTAGTGCAGGTAAAATGGTTTTGACCGATGTCAGGAGCCAACTGAAAGAAGATGTTTTGGAAGCGTTAATGTTTGTGAAGGATTAACAGGATGCTTATTTTCGACTACAAGATAAATATGCTGAAATTGCATATCGTCAAGTAAGTGATATTTGATTTAATTATATTAATCAAAATTTATTATTTTTTAATTGTTAAATTTAATTTTCTTTAAAAAATTGTACACGTTACAGCAAGTTGTTTATTTACAATTTTTAATTTCGCCTATTTAAAATTGATGTAGTCGATCCCAAGCCCGGATAAAGGAGGAGGGTTTACATTTTATCTACTTTAAAAATAAATCGAAAAAAATATATTTCAAAAAATAATTCATCTTCATTACATAAATATTTAATACTTTATAGAAAATATTACAATATGATTAAAAAAAAGTGTTTTCATTGTTATAAAATTAAAGGGAAAAGAGAAATAAGAGAAGAAATCAAGAATTAAAACACAATTGTGTATTATTATGAATCAATGTCCTATATTTATAGGGTCTAAAATAAGAGTTACAATTGGAATAAAATAGATCTTCTAAACTATAGATAAGACTTATCCATATATTATGATAATACTAAATAATCATAAATAATTACCTTATTATTTTACAACACTCCTCCTTTGATGATTATTTGTACAATAACTGTCTCGTTAAAATCTTGTTTGATAAAAATCTAATGGGAAAAAATCAAACAAAGGAAAAAGAGTATAGTTATTTTGGAGTACTAAAAATAAATGTTACCTCATTAAAACCTTACTAGGAAAATTCAGTGGGACAAAATCTAAGCTAAGGAAAAAGAGTACAGCTACTTCCTCTGATTTTGATCATTGAAAATCTTTGAGTCAACGCATTTCAATCTCATGAACTAATTTCTTGAATGTAGATGTTGGCAGTGCTTTTGTGAATAAATCGGTCACATTATCACTTGAGCGAATTTGTTGGATATCAATATCGTCATTCTTTTGAAACTCATGTGTATGAAAGAATTTTGGAGAAATATGCTTTGTCCTATCACCTTTGATATAACCTTCTCTGAGTTGTGCAATACAAGTTGCATTGTCTTCATACAAAATTGTTGGACTATCCTTTGTTGAATTTTATCCGCATGATACTTGGATATGATGGGTCATATTTCTCAATCATACACATTCTCAGCCTGTTTCATAGATTGCAATAATTTCATAATGATTTGAAGATGTAGTTATCAATGATTGTTTTATAGATCTCCATGATATAGTTGTTCCTCCACGTGTAAACACATAACCAATTTGTGATTTAGCCTTATGTGAGTCAGATAGATTATCTGCATTTGCATATCCCACTAAAGTAGATCTCGACTTTTGAGAATAAAATAATCCCAAATCAATAGTACCCTTTAGGTAACGAAAAATATGTTTAACACCATTCCAATGTCTTTGAGTTGGTGTAAAGCTATATTTTGCAAGGAGATTTACAGAAAAAACTATGTCGGGTCGGTTGCAATTTGCAAGATAAGTTAATGCTCCAATTGCACTAAGATATGGTATTTCAGGACCGAGAACTTTTTCTCCATCTTCAAGTGGACGAAATAGATCTTTTTTCACATCAAGTGATCGAACAACCATAAGTGATGCCAATGGATGTGCATTATCCAAGTAAAAACGTTTTAAAACTTTTTCTGTATACGTATATTGGTGAACAAATAATCCATCTGCGAAATATTGAATCTGCAATCCAAGACAAAATTTGATTTTTCCCAAATCCTTCAACTCAAATTCATTTTTCAAATAATCAGCAATTTTTTTTTTAGTTTTTCAGGAGTTCCAATTAAATTTAAATCATCAACATAAATTGTCACAATTGCAAATACACTATTTGTTTTCTTTATGAAAACACATGGGTAGATATTGTCATTTTTATAACCCTCATTCAACAAATATTCGTTAAAGCGATTATATCACATACGTCCGGATTGTTTTAATCCATATAATGATTTTTGTAATTTAATTGAGAACATAGTTCTTGGGCATGTATCGTTTGTTCCTACTATCTTAAGTCCTTCAGGGACTTTCATATATATGTCACTATCAAGTGAACCATACAAATATGCAGTTACTACATCCATAATGCAAACTTTTGTGATACAGTCAAACTAATTAAGAATCTAAAAGTGATGGTGTCCATTACGAGAAAATATATTTCCTCATAATTAATTCCCGGTCTTTGTGAGAAATTTTGAGCTACTAGTCGTGCTTTGTACCCTGTGATTTTATTATTTTAATTCATCTTTCGTACAAAGACCCATTTGTATCCAACAGGAATTACATTTTCAGGTGTTCGAACCACAGGTCCAAACACTTTTCATTTCTCCAAAGAATTCAATTCCGCCTATATGACTTTTTTCCATTTTGGCCAATCATTTCTATTTTGACAGTCTTTAACCAATTGTGGTTTAGAATCCTCATTCTGTATAATATCAAGAGTCATATTAAAGGTGAAAATATTGTCTATAACAACATTATTTCGTTCCCATAATTTATGAGATAACATATAATTTATTGAAATCTTATTATTTTCGGACACTTGTGGTTCTTCAGGAACCGTATTTTCAATATCTGATTGATCAATCTTTTCTAATGTAACTTTTTCCGAAATTTTTGGTTGGTTTTTCTCATGTACTTTTCTTTTTTGAGCTACAGAGTCTTTTGAACCAATTAGTCGACTACGCTTCTAGCGTATTTGAGATTCATTTGCTATAGCAGATTGTCCTACAGGGACATCCATTTTTGCTGGACTATTTTCTGTTGGAACATATGACTTTGTCACTTTTCTTGTCTCAACAAATATATTAGGTAATTGATTTGCAACTCTTTGCAAATGAATGATTTTTTCAATCTCTTACTCACATTGATTGCTATGGGGATCAAAATGAGATAGAGTTGTTTCATTCGAAGAAAATTTACCTTGTTTTTCAGGATGTAATTTTTTTCATTTTTATCAAAATGACAATATGCAAAACGTGCAGTAAATAAATTACCCGTTAAAGGTTCAAGATACGTAATAATTCATGGCTAATCAAAACTCACATAAATTCCAAGTTTTTGTTGGGGACCCATTTCAGTACGTTGTGAGGGTGAAATAGGAATTTTGACAGCACAACCAAAGACCCGTAGGTGAGAAATATCAGGTTCATAACCAAATGCCAGTTGCAAAGGTGAATATTGATAATAGGCAGTTGGTCTAATACGAACCAATGATGCAGCATTTAGTATGGCATGACCCCAAACAGAAGTTGGGAGTTTTGTTTTCATAAGTAATGGTTTAGCAATAAATTGTAGACGCTTAATAAACGACTCTGCCAAACCATTTTGTGTATGGACATGCATAACTGAATGTTCAATTACAATCTCGATTGACATACAATAATTATCGAATGCTTGTGATATAAATTCACTAGCATTGTCAATGCGAATAGTTTTAATTGAATAATCGAAAAATTGTGCTCGTAATTTTATAATTTGAGCAAGTAGTCTAGCAAAGGTCACATTCCTAGTGGAAAGTAGGCAAACATGTGACCATCTAGTGGAAGAATCAATTAGTACCATAAAATAACGAAATGATCCACATGGTGGGTGTATTGACTCACATATATCTCCATGAATTCTTTCTAAGAAAGTTGGAGATTCAATATTAACTTTTGTAGTTGAAAGTCTAATGACTAACTTGCCTTGCGAACAAGTTACACATGAATAATCATTACACAAAAGAATCTTCTGGTTCTTTAAAGGATGTCCATGTGAGTTATTTATTATTCAATGCATCATTATAGCTCCTGGATGTCCAAGTCGATCATGCCAAAGTATAAAATTTTTTGGGTCAACGAACTTCTGGTTCGTGACATTATTTGATTCAACTATTTTTATAAATGTATAATACATGCCAAATGGGAGTGCATGAAATTTTTCTTTTATCTGCTTCTAACCAGATACAAAAGAAGTTATAAAAAAATATTTAATATTATTTTTCTTATGTCGTCTCAATATGATATCCATTGCAATGGATATCTTTAAAATTAAGCAAATTTATTCTGAATTTGTTACAATAAAGTGCATCGTTAATATGTAATTTTGTATTATTTGGTAAAATAATACAAGCTCTTCCGGAGCCTTCAACGATATTCGATGCACCTGATATTGTATTGACATTATTCTCTTTTAATGTTAAATCCAAAAAATATTTTTTGTTTTGAAGAATAGTATGTGTAGTTGCACTATCAATCATGCAGGTGTCTTGACAATCCATCATGAATCTATCAATATAACAAAATAGATATATTTTAAAAAAAACTTGAATTTAAATTCAAAATGATAAGCATAATTAATACTGTGAAATTATCGATAGATAATAAAGTTCAAAATTTTTGCGAAAAGTAAAAACATATTTCAAATTAAATTTCTAAAATAAAAGGAAATACTAGAAACTTTAAAAAAAAAAAAAAAACTAATCTATATCTTCCATTACACCACCCTCAATCAAATGGTCAATATTTTCATTTGGATCAGCAAAGAAATCGGAGACGTCCAAATGAGTCATCAATTGGACCATCATAGTCAACAAAATTTGTCTCTAGTTTTCCCTTTCCCTTAATTGATTTTTGGTAGAGATCCACAAGGTATTTTGTCGTACGACAGGTACGTGTCCAATGCCATTTCATTCCACATCCAAAACAACTTTTTTCATGTACCTTTTTAGGTGTGCTACTTTCATTTACTTTGTGTCTTTTGAAATTGTTGCCTTGTTATTGATAACTTTGTTAATTATTTTGTCCATAGTTTACTCTGCGTCCATGTCCAAATCCATGTCCATGTCCATGTCCACGTTCACGTCCGTATCCTTGTCTTGATTTGCTTCAAGCAATGCAGTACCATTTGCTTCAGGCAATGGTACAGAACCAGCTGGATGTAACATATAATTTTTCATTATCAGTTCATTATTCTGTTCAGCAACAAGCAAGCAAGATATAAGTCCTGAGTATTTCTTGAAACCATGCTCGCGAAATTGCTGTTGCAGGAGCACATTCGAGGCGTGAAAGGTGGAAAAAAATTTCTCCAACATATTTTCATCAATAATTTTTTCTCCACACAATGTCAATTTTGAATATATTCTGAGCAATTCAGAATTGTACTCGCTAACAGTTTTGAAGTCTTGCAAACGAAGGTGCATCCACTCATAACGGGTTTTGGGAAGGACTATAGTCTTTTGATGATCAAAATTTTCAGTTAATTTTTTTCCAAAGAACCTGTGGATCTTTCTCAATTAGATATTCAATTTTCAGTCCATCGTGAAGATGATGATAAAGTACTAAATTCATAAATTATACTAATGTTAAAAGAATAGAATGTTAAAAGAATAGAATGTGTATATTCATAAATTATACTAATGTTAAAAGAATAGAATGTGATAATTAATGGAATGACAAATACTTCTCCAAATTTTGAAAAATTAAGTTATCGTGCTGATAACGTGTTATAAAATTAAAGGAGAGAGAGAAAATAAGAGAAGAAATAAAGAGTTAAAACTCAATTGTATATTATTATGAACCAATGTCCAATATTTATAGGGTCCAAAATAAGAGTTACAATTGGAATAAAATAGATTTTCTAAACTATAGATAAAACTTATCTATATATCATAATAATACTAAATAATCATCAATAATTATCTCATTATTTTACAACATTCATTAAATTATTTTTTTAAAAAATACATTAAATTATTTGTGTTTTTTTAAACACTTTCTATTTTTTTTTAAAAAGTGTCTTCATTAAATTATTTGTGTTTTTCTGTATTTAAAAAATAAAAATAAAAATAAAAATTGACAAGCTCGTGGGCCGAGCTGAGCTTGCCTAAAATGAACGAGCTACGAGGTCGAGCCGAGCTCGTGAGTTTACGGGCCGAGTCGACTCGGGTCGGCCCATTGACATCCCGAAGCATTTAGTAAGTTGAGCCCTACTTTGTGTAGCTGAAATTTATTTTTAGTAGATTTTGATTGAAGTTAATGGGACATGTGACTAAAAAATTGTTAAAATTTATAGATCCCATGAAATTTGTTAAAATTAGTGGTTAACTTTGTAAACTTTTATCAATTTTTTTAAGCCACACAAACATGGACTTAATATCTGAATGGGGCTTATCTACAGGATCCGGCAACAGATGTTAGGCCCATTTTAAATCTTGGACTGGATTGCATCAGATTTCTTCTGTTGTTAATATGGGCTTAAACTCGTACAATTGATGAGTCAGGTTTTAACTTATTCGGCCTCTTTAACAACCAGAGGCACATAAAGCCCACTCTACAGATGAAATGATTTTACCTAACATTATGCATGAACCATATCACATCATAAAGGAAAATATGGAAATATTTTCTTCATTAATAATTGTCTTATAATAAATATTTACTTGATTCTATTTATCATAATTTTTTTTTCCTTTTTACAATCCATTTTATATTGATTTTTATTAAATGATTCATTTCGAATATTATTTCTTTTGCTAGAGTAAGATTAACTTGATGTATAAAATCAATTAGAAAATTTTAATATCAATAATTGGTTCATCATGCTCAAGAAAATGGTAGTATATGCAAGTTATTTATTTTGAAAATAAGTTCTATTAGTAGTTATTATGGTCATCAGGGTTATCATAATATAGGGCCCGTTTGGTAGGGATTTTGAGAATTGATTTTTTGACCGTTAGAAGAAAGGTGGGGTCCACATGTGAGAGAAGAAGTCAAAAATTACGACTTGAATAGTAAAATAATGGTCAAAAAATCAATTTTTTGGGGCAAAAAATTCCTACCAAACGGGGCCATAAACATGCCATTTTACTTCTCCTTCTTACTCTTTAGGGATCTCTTTTTTCTTCGTCTTCCTTTGACAAGTAAATTTTCTTCTTTCACTTGTCTACTGTTTTTTTATTTTTTTATTTGCAGCTCTAAATCCTAATCTACCATATTTGGTTGCATTTTTAACTTATAAGTCTCAAGAAAATGAATTCAGAATATAAGTCAACACCTGAGTTGTGTCCACATTCAACAAGAGACAAAACAATCTTATTCAATTAATCTAGATTATACTCTAAATCTTTGGGAAACATCCTCAAAATAAAGAACCATTCAAATAAATAAATCTTGATTTGACGAATGTGCATTCAGAAGAAGCATCCAGACCCTCAATCAGAGGGCTGCTAAAAATTTACGTGTTGACCATCAGAAAAGTGGTGTCATTCTGATTGTTATAAATGTGTTCCACAATTTATCACTCCATATGATTTATGTGTTTGTTTGGTATGAATTTTGATAATTAATTTTTTGACCGTTGTAAATAAAGTGGGTCCTATATGTAAGAGAATAATTTAAAAATAACGATCAAAAAATTGATTTTAATTGCCTTTTAAACTGTACCGAACAAGCTCATATCTTCCCGATGATTATGGGCGTGGAATCGATTCTGATTATATTTATGCCTGCCTTTTTTTCAGAAACTTAATGAAAACTTTTAAGAAACTTTTTACCATAATATTTAAAAGAGTACTATTAAGAATTATACTCCCTATTGAATTTTGTTGTTGATTTCAAATAAGAATTAACGTAATTACAAGCTTCAACTAAAACTTAATAAAAAATTGGAAGCTTCAATTCTTATGCTCCAAAATATTAACAAGCCATTAGAATTTAAATTAATGTCAAATGTTCTTTTCCAAAGTTATATATATTTTATTTAGAAAAAATAAATTACCATTTGCATAAAAAACCATTAGTCAGGAATGTGGGTTGACTTGGGTTACTTAGCGTTCCTTGCTTTGGGTTGCAGTCTTGCAGAGGAGCAATTATTTTCCAGCTTCCTAACCTAATGCAGCATTCGGTTTGGACAACAGGGAACCATAGCATGGGGATGTCTAATCCTTTTATCGCAACAAGGCTGACTAATCGTACACAACCACCCTAATCGTAGACATAGTACCCCAAAAAAAAAAAAAAAAAAAAAAAAAAAAAAAAAAATTATGAAA